TGTGTGTGTGTGTGTGTGTGTGTGTGTGTGTGTGTGTGTGGAGGCGGAGGTGGAAGGAAGTGGATGGAGTGGGCAGTTGGCAGTGTGTCTTATGGGCTATTGGCTGAGGTGTCCCTGAGTCGGCATTTGCAGGCGCGCCCATAGTTGTTGTGGGTGCTGTTGCTGCAGGCTTGCGTAATGTTTTTGTTTTTTTTAATTTTATTTTGTTATTTTTTATGATGGACGTTTTATTTTTTATTTTTTTCTGGATCCTTCTTTCTTTTGTTGCCCTTATTCTATCTGCGAATTATTTGTTTATTTTAAGCTTGTTATATCCTTATTTTTCTTTTGCTTTCAGTTGATTTGCTTCCTGTTTATTGTACTTTTTGTATTTGTATTTATCATTTGTTATTTCGCATCTTTTTTCCCTGTTTTATTTTTCCGTATGTTTTTTGTTTTTTATTTTTCTTTATTTGGTCGTTGTCCTTTTTCAGATTTGCGTTCTCTTTTGATTTTCTTTGCTATTAAATTGTTTTTAATTTCTGGTTTATCGTGTCAAATTCTTTATTAATGATTTCGAACCAGTAAACGTTCTCTTAGCTCTAAGTTCACCCCTGTATCTGCACCCTTTATTAGCCAATCAAAAGCTCGATTTCTTTAATCGAATCCGAATTCTAGTTGCACTAACGCACTCGCACACACACTCAACCTCAAAGTACCAATCATACGATTGTCTTTCTCACACTCTACAAAGCAATAGACTGCCTCACATTTGGCACAAATTATGCCTCAATGAGTCCTTCTCAACCTACCGGTGTCACTTATTCATTAGCACAATAATCTTTCGGAACATTAATCGCCTGTTCAATTGGGCTATTAAACATTTTGGCAATTATTTCCTACTCTTCTTTGCCTATGTGATGGCTCGCCTTGTCTTCAACTTTGGTAAGGCTTCGCTTAGCATAAAATAATATATTGTTTACATTAAAACATTTAGGCACTTATATTCATTTTGCTATTAGTAACAAACAAGTTCTTTTAATTTCGCTCTTATTACGACCTCAATTTGTTCACGCGCCATCTGTTAATTGTGTTGAAGAGCTGTTTGTTTTAATACTTATAGAATTTTATTTATTTCTCTGCAAATAGAACAACTACTTCGTTTGCCGTTTTTAACTTCAAACACACGTTATTTCGACGTTTTCACATAAATACTTCATTTTACGTTGACCTTATTATAGACCTATCTTGTTTCAAAAAAATGTAACTTGAAATTTGAGTAGCTAATAAGAGAAGAAAAGTAGTATCTCAATGTGTTTATGAGTCATTTCCAGGCAGTAGGTTTTTGATATAATAAATGCTTTCAAGTGATGTGTGGGATGTTTTCTTGTGGGAACCTACTATGAGAGTCATTTCTTACAATTTAAACAGCATTTCAGTTTAATGCAATACTGAGCACTTCATTCAATTTTTCATTCCAATGAAAGATCTTAAATTTCGCTGATTTGGTTTAACTCTGCAGGTATATAATCTATACTCTACACCGCCAACTTCTCATTCACTCAACTCAAAAGAGACTTGATCGAATTGTTATTTAATGCTATCCCCTATTAATTAATATCACTGAAATTCCTCATTCGTATTAGAAAATACTTCACAGTAAGCTGGAATTCTACCATCATCCAAAATAAATGCCAAGTAAACTAAGAATGGATCTTACCTTTATCTCTGTCATACAACTCAGGACAAGTATCATCTAATTACTTCTTTTCATAAAAGACCTATGGAATGCCATTCTTGATTAAGTGAACTAATTACAAGCCACCATGGATCGTGTGGAAATTGGGATTGTATCATCTTTTGAGCAAAGGACAATTTCTGTTATGGTGTTATTAGCATTCAAATACGTAAAATTTCATCTTTAGTTACAATCGTGTATTGCAGAACTTGGCCATACAAACACTTTTCTTATTTTTTGACCTGCCTCTGAATGCGTGCTTTCATTTAACTATTCCAAATGTGAGGTATTTCAACTAGGAGGGAAGAAAATTCTCCTTAAATTTTAAAATCAGTCCTAAAAATTGCAAAGCATAGTTGAAAAAAAGAAGTATAGGATGGACGAAAATTCATTGCATAGCCCGGCCTCTCTTAAACCCATTAGAATTCGCAAGCTATGCATCTTTTTGTTCAATTAGAAGTCTTGATCCGATCTTTAAATAAATGAATTTGTTATGGTATGATTCTTATGAGGACTTAATCCACTGACAACCTATTAAAATGAAAGAACTTCTTAAATACGCATTCAAAAGGCATTAGGACTCTTGTGACATTATATTATTAGGACAAATCAAATTAACGACTAAGCACTATTTCCATATCTTTATCAACTTGCATCATATAAAAATGATCGCGACGTGTTTTGTAACTCAAATTACTCAATTCACGAAAACGATAGACGTGTCTTCCAATTTCAAGCCTACTTCTTACAAAACGCGGTGTATTTATAAATTTAAAATGCCTATACAAGGGGAATAAATTTTAATTTACTACGATACGTTAAACAAGAGACATAATTAGGCTCAGATTGTCTAGAAGTTGATACTGTCCGAATGTGGCGCAAGTGCGAGATGAAATCCGATATTTAATTTATCTCGGTCATTGTATCCATTTGTGTTCCAAATTAAGTTTTGATGAGGGGTGAATAGAGGAATTGTGATTCGTGATTATATTGCATATTTGAATGGTTATGATAGGCAATACCGATAAGTGATAGATGTCGGTACCAGCCTAAGTTTCAAGAAAATAGTGGATTTCAATTCAAATAATTAGTAAATGCGCTCTATAGCTTTTAATAAAAGTTGATTAACATTTAATAAATATGTGACTTACCTTAAAATAATCTGTATTCTAGTCATTTTTAACCCTTTGGACTTTAGGAGTGTTTTTAACGATTTTGGTGTGCTTGAATGGCGTCTGTTTCGCTTCGCTTTATCTGAAAAAACAAGGAAAAGGTCTTCTACAGCAGGAACACAATTACGAAGCCCCTGTAATTAGTATGGGTTCCATTTCCGCCCATTGGTTAAACATCCTCTGCACTGTTCCAAAAAGCGCTTCGGCTTTTCGAGTCTTTATCAACTGTCCCGCTCTCCAATCACCGTGTTATGAAAATTGTCTACCCACTCAAGCGTGCAATGGTAACAGTTCAGTGAATGAGCAATGTTTACCTGATAGAACTGCTGTAAATTGCACAGAATCGACCAATGAAGATGGCAGCAAAATTACTAGTCTTTGGATTGATAAGCGAAGTACCCGACTTCATGGATCCTGGATTTGTACTAGTCAAGGAATTAAGAGCATTGTCGTTAATGTACGTTACTATTATTGACTACTATAAACCTCAGGGAAGAGTATCTAATTAAGATGTAATAGCGAATGATAAATCAAGGTGTCTGAGAGCCCTTACTTCCTTTGAATTGTAGTTTTACAGGGCGAAGTAGCAGCTAAGGTATTCAACTGACTAAATCTTCCACTTACCATCTATCCCAACTACTTCAATTATATAGTGGTGTGGAGTATACCGGTAGAGGATCAGGAATCACTAGTGAATGGAGATGGTGTGTCTTAGTTGTGTGGGTGTAATCAATAGGAAGGCAGAGTAACGTCCATCTCATAAGTTCCTACCCAGGTGTGCTGCTTCATTAAGTTGGTTGGAGGCACTGGTTTTCACGTCATCACTGAGAGAAAGTCGTGTTCACTTTAATTTCATTGAGTTGGCTAGAGAGGATTAAGCACCCCACGATGTGTGGAAGGTACTTTGCTGCTATTGTTTGTCTTATGACAATGATAACTGATTCATGAGGTCTGAACAAGTTTTAAAATCAATCACCTCTGCAAACAGCTATAAAGTGCTTGTAGTTGAATAACTCATTCTGTGTTTTGAGGAATATCAAACTTAAGGAGTAGAAAGCAGAAACAGTGGGTTACGTGAATCAGGGTATGTTCAGAGTATATTTTGTAGAGATTAAGTTATAGGTGATTGATGAAATTGTAATTTTACAATAGAAGATGGTGAATCGGTGGAGCAAGCTACTATATTTCATAATATAATCGTTGATCTGAACCAAGTTCTTAAGTTCTGGAGTTCGAAGAGGCATCTCCATCTTGAATAGGCGTTGCTTCATTGGAATGCGTGGTAGCGGTGCACCAGAATCTCAAATCTTGGTTAACCCATTTTGATCTCGAGACTCTATTCCTAACTGCAAATAAACATTTCGTACCAAACTGGTTTAATATTGTCATGTAAATTAGACCCAGGTCGATTTCGAGTTTGTTTTTCACTGTTAGGAAAGAAAATCTTATCTCAGTGTTTACGATTTGGC